TTGTCTTGTGTACCCTTCATTTGAGTACACAGTGCAGGTGTTATTTTTTTTAAATCATGAGCAGACATCAACGTAGTTCTCGTCTGATACAGTTAGCGTTGCAACAAACAAGTTAGCATTTTATAATTTTTTAAAAATAAATAACTATAACAAGGTTAATTTTTAGAAGGTCCCGTAGAAGAACATAATGGTACTAAAGACATGGAACTTGGACAAGCAAGTTGTTCTTCATTTATTAATACTGGTAAAGAATTTGCTCTTATACATATTTTTTTAAGTTAGGTCTACATTAAATATTCTTTTTATTGTTCTGGTCTTATTTTTAGAGAATGAACTAATAACTTTTAAAAAACCATTAGAGAAACAAAATGAAATATTTGATGATTTTGAGCAAAGTAAAACTGAAGGTTTTTTTCTCCCGACGTTTCGGAGTATATTCCTTTATCATCTAGTAAATTTATTGTTTTGTTAGTTATAAGTTTTTTAATTATTTTAATTATTTACAGAATCATCACAAAGTTCTACTCTACATGAGAATCATTCCGGTTTGGGTGATTACCTCCGGCAGAACAATAATAAATCGACATCGCTATTTATAGTCAGTTCAATTTTAAACGACATATTAAGGCAAGTGGTAAGTATAAGCTTAAAAAGTATAAGACGGGGATGAACACGTAAAGCTAATAGAACGAAATGGAAAGATGTAATTCGTAAACAAAAAAAAAGAAAGGAGAAGAATTTATAAATAAAAAAGGTAAAGTTGTAAAACAACGACAACTTAAAGGTGGTTGTATGAACAAATGTATCCGAAAGTGCCAAGAAAAACTGAATCAACAAGACAAAAACTTTTTAAAGAGTTTTGGAAAATGGGAGATCACAAACTTCAGACCCAATATATTAGTCGTTTGGTTACTAGACACACAAGAACTCTTTTTTTAAATACTACCATTGAATCTCGAAGGTTGTGGACATTTCAGTATAAAATGCCTATAAATGATAGCCACATTGTGGTATGTAAAAAAATGTTTCTTGATACGTTTGATATAACCGATAGTTGGATGATGACAATGTCTAAAAAGATGTCAGAGAGTGAAGTTGGTATAATTGTTGAAGATAAGCGTGGAAAACACACCACTCAGCCACAACGAGTAGCAGAAGAAATAAAAGAGACTGTTCGAAAACACATATCATCCATTCCATCAGTAGAGTCTCAATACCTTAGAAAAAAAAAACAACAAAATTATATTCTGAAGAGAAACTAAATATTTCTAAACTTTTTGATTTGTATATGGAATGGATGCAGAAAGAACATCCTATCTCGTCTACTGCAACATTAAGACAATACCGTGAGATATTCAACAGTGAATTTAACATTGAGTTTTTTAAACCAAAAAAAGACCAGTGTGTCTTCTGTCATGTTTACCGAAATGCACGTAAAGACGAAAAAGCAGAGATGGATCTGAAGTACACTAACCTTGTTGCTAATAAGCCTGTTGTAAGATATCTTAAGGAAAGGGATAAAGAGATCGCTAAAAATTCAATAGAAACTATAGTTGCTTGTTATGACTTGCAGAAAGTTCTCACCACACCTCAGTCTGAACTGTCAATGTTTTACTATAAACGAAAATTATACGTTTATAAAATCCGTAAAATAGTTTCGAAACACAATTCAGATTTCTGCTTATAATCTGAGCCTTCTAAAAATTGCAAGGCAAACAGACGTTGATAAAAGATGTTAAAAGGGACATGGGGAATCTAAAATTTGCATTCCACGACATGTCTTTTACAACAAAGCAGAAATCCTTAGCGAATTGTGCTTCTAGTACTCACACAGAGTAGATCCGAAATAAAATGAAAAAGACAGCAAATATTTAATTTCACGCAAACAAATTATATGTATCTGTTGATACGTATTTCGACCTAATAGGTCGAAAGTGAGTACTAGAAGCACAATATATTGAGGAAAATATATTAAAAACAACAAGAGCCAAAATAAAAAGCACTTAAACAGTGGTGTATACAAACTTAAATGTGGCGACTGCCCAAAAACTTACATTGGTCAAACTGGTAGAAATTTTAATAAACGAATAGCAAAACATAAAAGGGCTTTCAATAAGAGAAAAACAGATTCTACATACGCACTTCGCCTTCTAGATCATAATCATTCTTTTAATGACGAATTTAAAATTCTTCACATTCAAAATAAAGGCCTTAAGCTATCTTTGTTAGAATGTATAGATATTAACGAATTAAAAAACAGACATAATTCTGAATGACCAACTTGAGAGTAGCAGTCGAATCCTTCAATAATATACTTATGTAGTTATATAGACATAATACATAGAGCGAAATGGTGAATTCTCATTTCGAAATCATCAATTCAATTTATTTGGTTGATGCGTAAAATTAGCCATCTATGTGGATAATTTTACGCAGTATATCGAGAAATTTTAAGTAGGTAGGTACCTACGCAAATTAAAAAGTTATACATCTTGATTTGTTTATTACAAAAATATTATAATTTAAACTGAGTATTTATTCATCTCATTTGTAACCACATTTGATACCACAATTCTCTGTCCATTCCGAATTCACCACAAATTAGGCATATGTTTTCTGGCCTAGTCAGATCTACATCGTCTCAACATCATCACAGATGTTTTTCTCGTCAAATTCCGATTCACTATTAATCTTTTTAATATCACCTTCTTCATCGGTGTGGATATCAGGAATACAGAGCGTTTCTTTGTACATGTCCCAGTGTACCTTGAAGAATGATAATTAATCCGAAAAAGAAACATTTGTTTTTGATGTGCCAGGAATTCAATGTATATTTCGGAATTTACTTTTGGAACTGTTCCTGCAATGATGTTGAAATTTTTATTAATAACCTGATCTTCTAGTTGCTCGGTATCACATACTCTATGTTCTACTTCATTTAGAAATTGTTGAGCAGCAAAAAATATTTATGTTTAAATTTATCTGGGTCAAAAGGACAAATACCAACAGATCTAAAGCTATCAATACCTTTTTTCATAATAGTAACTGTCAGATAGGCTTAGTTGAAAATTACACCTAATTTAAACTTAGTTATGTTCTGATTTGGATGTGTTTTGAGATATTTACAGTTGTTATGATAGGCTCCCTAAGAGTTCTACAAAATAAAAGGTCGATGGGGTGTAGCCTATGAAAGGGGTGCGGAGGTTTGTATATGCGGAGAATTGAATTAACTTTACAAAATGAATTCATGTCACGAGGCATTTCCTTTAAAAAACTGGTTAACTATACTCTTCCCAAATAAGATTTAAAAAAAAAGGTCCTAAAATACCAACGGGCATGTATTATTACTTCGATTGCTACTTTTGTTGATTAAGATAAAAATAATGTCGTTTAACGCTTCGTAACCAGATTTAAAAAATGAGACTAGAGCTATAAATAAAAGTCAATTCTTATTCAAAATTTATTACAAACCAAATTATTAAAAATTACAGATTATTATCACTTTTTTTTCTTTTTGCGATTTGCTTCAGCTGATTTTTTCCTCTTCTGGCTTTGTGTTGGATTGAGCAATGGACAATCAACTTTCTTATGACCCGACTTCTTACATTTAAAACATTCCTAAAAAAACAACAAAATACTAATGTAATACAATAATAATAAAATGTTGTTAAGATGGAACACAGTTAAAGCTACTTAATGTTTAAATATTTAAATTCAGAATAGGTATGTGTCATTAGTCTGTGCGCTAAGAGTTTTGCTGCTTCTCAAGAATACTAAACATAGTAAGCGAGCGGCAGATGCATATAAAATGAAACTCTGCCGACCACAAACGTTGACTATGTATGGCCAATTGTAGTCATACTGTTTTCGATGTCGCTGAATCCGAATGGAGCATGCTCAAAAATAAAATTCTAAGCAAAATTCGAAAAATCAATTGTATTCGCTTATCAACTACATATTTTTGGTCGCTATGGATGTTTCCCTTCAAAAATATTATTGCATGAACTTCCAAGTGTTTAGACCTGCCCTAAATCTTTCAACAAATTCTACCAGGAATGGTCATCATCATCATCATCGGGTCTATCACCCATAGTAGGTCTTGACCTGCCCCAAGGTGAGCCTCCATTACTTTCTATATTTTAACTTGGTTTTGCTATTTTGTACTTTTAACCCTTTCGAGTCTGACGGGTCCTATCCTAGTCATGAAATCATCAAGTCTGTGGGACTAAATCTAAACTGCTTTACATGAATTTTAATCCTAACCAACTCCTTAAGAACTTAACAGTTTTAAAAGAATTATTTGTGTAAGCGGCAACATTGCTAACCATTTTCGAGCCGTATTTTCCCGTGATGTTGATCTGTAGAATGTGTTTATGTAGATTTGTTAATGACTACCACACGGATAGTTGTGCACTGTTACTGTTGTCGCGAATTTGTTTTCGTTAGTGGACCTACCTAAAAAAAGGTAAATATATTCAATAAAACTAGTACTTCGTTGAAATATGTCCCAACAAAGATTTATGGTGGGTTATATGTGCCCCAACAGTTATGTTATATTCTAAAGGAGTAGAAAGATATTAACGTAGAAAGAGCTAGAGGATGAGCCAACAGCCATTTTTACCAGCGATACAGAATCAAAAAACGATCCTATTGAGATTAGTGACTCCGATGATGAAGACTACAATACATCATGATAGCCCTAAGAGGGCTACAAAATGAAAGGTCGATGGGGTGTAGCCTATGAAAGGGGTGCAGAGGTTTGTATATGCGGAGAATTGAATTAACTTTACAAAATGAATTCATGTCACGAGGCATTTCCTTTAAAAAACTGGTTAACTATACTCTTCCCAAATAAGATTTAAAAAAAAAGGTCCTAAAATACCAACGGGCATGTATTATTACTTCGATTGCTACTTTTGTTGATTAAGATAAAAGTAATGTCGTTTAACGCTTCGTAATCAGATTTAAAAAATGAGACTAGAGCTATAAATAAAAGTCAATTCTTATTCAAAATTTATTACAAACCAAATTATTAAAAATAACAGATTATTATCACTTTTTTTTCTTTTTGCGATTTGCTTCAGCTGATTTTTTCCTCTTCTGGCTTTGTGTTGGATTGAGCAATGGACAATCAACTTTCTTATGACCCGACTTCTTACATTGAAAACATTCCTAAAAAACAACAAAATACTAATGTAATACAATAATAATAAAATGTTGTTAAGATGGAACACAGTTAAAGCTACCTAATGTTTAAATATTTAAATTCAGAATAGGTATGTGTCATAAGTCTGTGCGCTAAGAGTTTTGCTGCTTCTCAAGAATACTAAACATAGTAAGCGAGCGGCAGATGCCTATAAAATGAAACTCTGCCGACCACAAACGTTGACTATGTATGGCCAATTGTAGTCATACTGTTTTCGACGTTGCTGAATCCGAATGGAGCATGCTCAAAAATAAAATTCTAAGCAAAATTCGAAAAATCAATTGTATTCGCTTATCAACTACATATTTTTGGTCGCTATGGATGTTTCCCTTCAAAAATATTATTGCATGAACTTCCAAGTGTTTAGATCTGCCCTAAATCTTTCAACAAATTCTACCAGGAATGGTCATCATCATCATCATCAGGTCTATCACCCATAGTAGGTCTTGACCTGCCCCAAGGTGAGCCTCCATTACTTTCTATTCTTTAACTTGGTTTTGCTATTTTGTACTCTTAACCCTTTCGAGTCTGATGGGTCCTATCCTAGTCATGAAATCATCAAGTCTGTAGGACTAAATCTAAACTGCTTTACATGAATTTTAATCCTAACCAACTTTTAAGAACTTAACAGTTTTAAAAGAATAATTTGTGTAAGCGGCAACATTGCGAACCATTTTCGAGCCGTATTTTCCCGTGATGTTGATCTGTGGAATGTGTTTAAAGAAATACCAAGAAGATCGCATTAAAAAATCATAGAGAAGAACAAAAGTTTAAAAACAATGAAGACAAATATAGGAAAAAGAAAACTAATCATGCTTAAAGCTGAAAACAATGAAGAAAGAGATCTAGGAGAAATAGTAAAAATCACAGAAAGATATTACACAGACCTATACAGTTCTAAAAATGACCCGCCACTATCATCTAAACAGAATCTCTCGAGGAAAATACAAAATGTTGGCTCAGAGGTATTACCAGAAATAATTGAAGATGAAATCGAAAAATCCATAAACGACATGAAAAGAAATAAAGCGGCCGGTGAGGACAAAAATACTGGCGGAACTGCTAAAAGAAGGAGACACGATAAAAAAAATGCTAAAAATACTGTTCAACAAATGTCTGTTTGAAGGTAAAATACCTAAACAATGGAGAAATGCCAACACAATCTTAATACATAAGAAAGGAGACCGAACAGACCTAAACAAATACCGTCCTATTTCCCTTTTGTCACAACTATATAAAACTTTCACAAGAATAATAAACAACCGACTAACCTATAAACTTGATAACTACCAACCAGTGGAACAGGCCGGATTCAGGAAAGGATACAGCACAATCGACCATCTACATGCGCTTAAAATCTTAATTGAGAAAACCAATGAATACAACCTTCCGCTGTACTTAGCATTCGTAGATTATGAAAAGGCTTTCGACAGCATTGAACACTGCGCGGTTGAAGAAGCTCTGGTCAATAGTAGAATAAATTCAAGATACCGACAATTGATACATGATATTTACCAAAACGCAACCATGACCGTAATTCTGGACGACAAATTAATAACGGATAATATAAAAGTTAAACGAGGAGTCCGACAAGGCGATATAATTTCACCTAAACTGTTTACCTTGACCCTCGAAGACATAATAAAATCAACACATTGGGAAAACAGAGGAATATGTATTAACGGAAAATACCTAAATCACCTTAGATATGCGGATGATATACTCCTGATCTCCTCGGAACGACAAGAACTGGAATTAATGCTGAATGAACTTCATGAAAAATCACTGCAAAAAGGCCTAAAAATTAACTTACAACAAAACAAAAGTAATGACAAACACGGAAGACCAAGAGGCAATAAAAATACAAACAGAAAAAATAGAACAGGTAAATGAGTATATCTATCTAGGACAAGCAATCAGAGCTAACAGAGAAAATCAAACAGCCGAAATATCGAGACCAGTAAGAATGGGATAGGCAGCGTTCGGCAAACTTTCTTACGTTCTAAAAAATCAAACAATCCTTCTATATGAAATCGTAGGCTTCCACGGCCAGAGTCAGAATTATAGTTTATTCGTCTTCCGGGTTTGGACCGTGTCATTTGTGAGTGACCCAAAAGTGGGTTTCATCTCTGAGATGAACCCACTTTTGGGTCACTCACAAATGACACGGTCCAAACCCGGAAGACGAATAAACTATAATCCTTCTATACTTACGAAGCAAGGTATATAACTCCTGTATAATACCGGTGCTCATCTACGGAGCACAGACATGGACATTTACACAGGCCAATTTGGATAGGATAAGGAAGGCACAAAGAGCGATGGAGAGACAAATGTTGGGTATATCACTTAAAGATAGAAAACGTACCCAGTGGATCAGAACCAGAACAAAGACAGTAGACGCGATAGAACAAGCAAAAAAATTGAAATGGAAATGGGCTGGACACAATGAACGTCTCCAAGACGGACGATGGAATAATGCCATCGGAAAGTGGCGTCCATACAATGCAAAGAGATCAAGAGGCAGACCACAGATGAGGTGGAAAGATGACATCAGGAAACAAGGAGGTCCCACATGGCAGAGAACAGCTCAAGAATGGGGAGACCTATATCCAACAATGGAAGGATAGAGAATAGGTTAAAAAAAATGACATATTGACTGAATATGATATGAATAGAATATTGACGCAAAAAGAGCTAGATGATGAGCCAGCAGCCATTTTTGCCAGCGATACAGAATCAAAAAACGATCCTATTGAGATGAGAAGAAGAAGTAGAACAAGAAGACGTGGGGAACGATATGCTGCTTGTGTTCGACGAGTACGGGTTGCTTTTGGAGTGAATTCGGGAATGTTTTGGGCAGGCATTTCATTCGAGGGCCGTACTGATCTCGTATTTATTGATAGAGGAGCGTTGAATGCATACCGATACATTACCGAAATTCTAGAAGAGTATGTTATGCCTTTTGTTGGGTTTGTCGGCGAAAACTTTATTTTTATGTAAGACAACGCGAGGCCAGACGTAGCCAGGATGGTAACGCAATATCTGGAAACTGTCGGCGTGCCAAAAATGAACTGGCCGGCTCAAAGTCCAGATTTGAACCCGATTGAACATGTTTAGGACCAACTCAAACAAATGGTAAGAAACATAATACCTGCTCCAATAAACCGTGAGCAGCTTCGGTTGGCACTCATGGAAGAATGGGAAGCTTTTCCTCAAAATAACATCCAGAATTTGATCAATTCAATGCCAAATCGAGGCAGTGTAATTCAGAATAGAGGAAGTAATACACAGTATTAATAATCACGACTTAATTGTAATTTTATAAAGAAAACAGAAAAAATGTACAATGTTATTTTTTTTTTTAATTTTTCAATAAAACCATTATTTTGGAAGAAGTTATTTTTTGACATTTGTTATTTAAAAAAATGAGTGCATACTGCTTTAGAACATATTCTGAAACATTACACATTGTGGTATGATTCGTAAAAATTAAAAAATTGCAAAAATTTTAGGTAGCCTCTTTTTCGCGACGCTCAATGTATATTTATCTGTTAAAAATATTTTATTAATTAATTGAAAAGGCAACAGAAGCACAACATTTAACAATATTGAAAATTGAAACAAAACAAATGGTACTATTGATGGAAAATAATGAAAAAAATTGAATTAACAGAAAAGATGAAAACATAACAACAAAAAAAACTACCTTAAAAAACTTAATTTTTACACAACTATGTACAACTTGGGCACACCTGCCACATTTTTGGCAATGTTTCCATGTAGGTTTCACACATCTATTACACTCTTCACAGTGAACATAGGTAACACCATTTTTTGATGTACAAGAGTTACATGCAGCACAATGTTTATTTTCATTTGCAACCCATCTTTTACATATTTCACAATGTTTATAGTCTGAAGAAGGTAATTTTATCAAACTGAAAATAAAAAAGATAAAAAAATGTTAGCAAAAACTAATCTATCCATTGAATAATACTAAAGTTATTATGTAAATATTTTTTGCCTACCTGGGTTTGACATTAGTAAAAATTCTGATTGGTGACCCTTGTTTTCTTCCTCCGGAATTAGTTTGAAAAGATTGATGGTTCTCATACTCTACTTTATAATCCAGCATAGAAAATTTTGGTAGTGAATTCAAAATTTGTGGTTCCATAAAGTATGGATATATCCAGAAAATTGGCAAAGTATTTTTGGTTTGGTTAAGCTTCTGATATTGATTATTTATTCTGTTAAATGTTGCCGAAATCAACTCTGTTCTTCCCCAAATGGTGGATCTGTTATTATTACCATATCTTTACCACTAAAAACATTAATATGTTATTAGGAATTTCTATATTAGGAACTATGTGCTGAAAATAAACACTCTAAAAAACAATTGCAATAGGAGAAAAAGTTCTGTACTACATTTTTAACTGCAGATCAAATAATAAAACGGATTTTTGACAGATGACAAAGAACAAGAAATTCATATATTAAATTCAATTATCTTATACAGTGATTTATTATTATCAAGACATTAACTTTTACAAAACCCTTAAACACTTTGCTTTTAACAGCTTGCCAACCTTTGTCTTGCCATAACAATAAAAAACTCAATAAAAACAAACAAGCTCAAGATCAAACATTCTTACAGGTTATGACTTGTTAAATTAGGGTTTTACTTAAGGAATATGTTCACTTGTTAACCCCTAACTGTTATTGCGGGGTCATTTTAGACCCCAATAAAAAATGGTTATTAAAATTCCAGAAAAAGGAGAACACCTGGCAACGCCGCCGTCCAGCTATTCGTCTGTGGCGTTGAGTACATTACTTCTTGAACGTAGTCGCTGCAGGCAGTTGACTTTGTACTTTGTTGAGTGTTAGACGTCGATAGGGTCAAAATTGACACCACCATACATTAAAAAGGCCAATTGTCAGTGATTTAGTTTTAAATATATATGGCTAATTCAAGTGTCAGAACGAGACCCTTGACACAACAGGAGTTAGAAGACATAGCTGAACAGAATCGAGTAGTGAGGATGACAGTAGTGATAACGAACAGCAAAGTTCGTTATCACTACTAACAACACATACCAACACTAAATGTTCTTTCGCTAACTGCACCAATAGTAAATTCCAATCGCAATGTAACTGGTGACAACTGGTTTTCGTCACTAGAGCTTGTTGAAGAGCTACGCCACTGTAAACTTACTTACGTTGGTACTATGCTGAAAAATAAAAGAGATTTGCCAACGGAGTTTTTACTGAATAATCAACGTCCGGTCCAGGACGCGACCCTGGTGTCCTACGTACCGAAAAAAAAAACCGATCCGTTTGTCTAGTGTCCAGTCTCCATCATAACAATAAAGTATTGGAGACAGCTAAGAAACTACCGGATATTATAGACTTTTACAACATTACCAAAATTGGGGTGGCTGTACTGGATCAAACTTGGCCACAGTCGAGTTGGCCACATCCCGGTAGACGACCAAAACCAAGCAAGGCAAAGAGCTCCTAAACGTGGGAGATGTTATATTTGCCCACGTAATGATAATAAACAATCACTTAAATGTAATAAGTGTGAAAAACATATATGCAAAAACCATTGTGTTTTATCAAATTTTTGTAGTAGGTGTAATATTGAGTAGTTATCATCATGTTCATACTTGTTTTGGTAAATTTTTTGTATATAATTAAATATTTCTCATTTAATTTTTGATCCTTTATTTAATTATTTGATAAGAATTTATTACTTTTTGAAAATACATGTGTTTTTCGGGGTTTATGCAGTGTTATAATCATTAATATGATTTTTTATTATAATTTGCTTAATTTTTTGTTTATTTCCACAAAAAAATCCAAAGGTCAATTATGACCCCTCCATACCTTATATGTATTTTTTTCTTGACATACCACTTAAGGGTTAAATGAGGATTCTACTTAAGCCTCCATCACTCGCACTGTTAGAAAAAATCTAACAGTTTTAAATATTTCGCGATAATTTTCGAAATATTGCTTTTTTGGGTTCTGCAACCGGAATACTCCTATGAAGATTCGTATAAGACTATGTTAAATAATGGTGGGAGTACCTATTATTTGATAGCCGACAGCAGTTGTTGTTAGTTTAAATCTAACATGCGAGCGATCGCGTTCGTCGGAGCGTTAGAAAAAATCTAACTACACGAGTGTTAACGTGTGTTGATTTTTAGAGAGATCAGTTAAGAAAAGATATATTATTATCATAAAAGGTTTAAATTGTTGAACATCCGTTATTATAAGCGCTATTTTGGTTTATTGCATGTAAATATGGACAAGAAAATGGAAAACTAGTAATTAAAATGGTCTGAAGAGATAGACAGTGATGTGGAAAAACTAGATTCTGATAAGGACTTAAGTGCTGTTTGTTCTGAACACAGTATCGACAATACAGATTCTAAGCAGTTCACACAAGATCCACCCAGTAATCCTGAAGATGCTATGAAAGAAAGCGGCCAAGATGATGGTTATCCAAGATTTTATGGCAAAGATAAAACACCGTAGTTGGAATATAAGAAACACACTCCCAAAGTTAGACCAAAACTTGTAATATTGTTACGAACTTACCTGGGGTAAAAGCAAAAGGCACCAAAACCATATTAGAATGTTGGAAATTTTTTTTCTCTGATGCTATGATCAATAATATTGTAAAATATACAAATCAAAAATTGGATATGCGAGTGTTTTATACTCGCCCTATGGATTGTCCTGCTGTTGACTACGAGGAAATGCAAGCATTTATCGGACTTCTGTTCCTTGCTGGGGTAAGCAACATTTTAATACTGATCAACTCTGGAAATTAGATGGCACAGTTCCAGATATTTTTGCAGCTACTATGTCCAAGAAAAGATTTCACCAAATAATTCAAGCTGTAAGATTTGACTAAGAGGCAAGAAAATTTTTCACACAAAATCTCAAAATTTACCCCGGCAAACAACCTGAAGGACCATATCAACTACCCGACGATGCATCTAGTGTAGTAAAAAGACTTATACAACCCATAAGCGGAACCGGTCAAAATGTAACTACAGATAATTACTTTTTCTCTGTACCCTTATCCAACTCTTTGTTGAATGATCATTGCTTGACAACGATAGGTACTTTGCGTAAAAACAAACAACAAATTCCCCTCAGTTGGGAAAAACACCAAAGGGCATACCATGAAGCCAGAGATTATTTCTGATTAAAACCTCACAAAAGGCGTAATGGATGTTGTTGATAAAATGAAGGCAGAATACTCAGTGACTCGATTTAGCAATTGCTGGCCGTTTACTGTTTTTTGCAGCCTACTAAATATTTCAACTATAAACAGCCAAATAATTTACAATAACACTAATATCATAACATCTAGAAGAAGCTACATTGTGGAGCTTGGCAAGCAACTTTTAATGTCCCATCTTCAATGACATTCTAATATCCCAAACCTGCCTTTTCAGTTGAGACTCAGGATTTGAAATATATCCCAAGAAAAGCCAACAGTTTTTCAATGGCAACTCCAACTATAAAAAAAAAGATGTTCTCTTTGCCCTGTAAGGAAGAATAGGTTTACTCAACATTATTGTACTGACTGTAAGTTGCCAATATATAAAGAGCACACTGGTTTAACAAATTTTACTTGCCACCACTGCCTAGAAGAGGAAAAAATCTAATTTTATTAGTAATGTGTACATTTTTTTGGAATAAATCCCCTTAATTGTTTTGTTCTAGGGTATAAAATGCCAGAGTTGGCGTAATTTTCTTAGGTGCAAGTGATAGAAGGTTAAGGAATATGTTCACTTTACGAAAATGCCGTAAAAATGTCAAAAGCATTTATAAATTCAACTTTAAAAATATAAAGAATCTGGTATAGGGAATAGACAATTAGCAAAACCAGAAATAGCAATCTGACTCAGTTTTGTGAAAAATATGTCATTAAAATCATTGAAACTCTTTTAATATAAGCTACTAATTTTAATCATTTAATCACAGCAGTTACAAATAACCAAAAAGCTTTCTGAAAACAGAAAAAAACCAAAACAAAAAATAGGGACATGAGAAATCATGAAGAAAAATAGGCTATGTAGCCTGAAAATTTAACAAGTAACAAATAAACATAAAGTAATTGGCCAATTTTTGAAGCTAACAACTTATTTTAAGCATTCAAAGGATCATTAGTATCTCCAGCTTTTCAATCTACATAAGTAAAATTTACTTACCCATCTGACTGAAGAAAATCATTAAACACATCTTTGGCTTCTTTGAAGAAAAAATGATTGTTGAACATGTTATACCAACAAAATTGAAGAGGCCCAAAAAAATTGTGAAACCTTTTATCTATATCTAGCAAAATACTAGACATGTCATTACAATTACTTTGAATGTATTCATGAATTCTAGGAGTTCCAATGCATATAACATTCCTTAAAATATAAAAAATATGGTAGGTACTTTCAAGGAGTATTAAAATACAATAAAATATAGTATATGGATAAAAATACATACTTATATCCTAGTTCTTTCAATATATCCATTATAACAGTTACTGATGTTTCTGAAAAATGATACTGTGCTTCCCGTTTGGAATCATCTAATGCTGGCAGAACTGCAGAGGGATGTCTCAGTTGTAAATCATTTAAACTTTTAACAACTGTGTGACTGGAGTGTTTTTCATTATCCTTGCAAAAAAAGTTACAGGTACTACAAAACGTTCTTTTAGAAACACCCAGCGAAAATATTTCATTAAGATTTAGAAACATTTTTCGGTGATTAATACCTTGCACAAATTTTTGGTTCTGTGTTGCCCAAAAGGATTCTTTATTTTTCGACTTTTCTTCTTCCCAAAGAAAAAAATTACACTGTTTTCTATCTCTGCAAGCAGAACAAGCAAAGTATCTCCTGTTTTCATCTTCAATTTTTCTTGAAAACAATATTGTTGGCCCATGTGGACAGCAAGGATGATTCCTTATATCTTTATCGATAACTTGTACACCACCTTTAGTCATGTTACAGTTTTTAATAACATATAATAAAAGTTACAATTATTTCCTTCAAAGCATGTTGATGACAGGATGGCAGTCTAACCCTAACCTAAAAACAAAACATTCTTCTTCTTCCCGTCGTGGTTAGTTTCCTTAACTACTAAATATATAGCAAAGAATATAGACTCTTATAAGCGTCTATATTTTTTGGAAAAATTTTTGGATTGTTTCTTTTCAAATTTAAACCTTAAGAAAATCATTTTTGTGGATCAAGTCATCCTCTCAAGCTTGTAAAATAATATTTATAAAGAAATAAATACATGTACCAAATCGCCCCCACTCACGGGGTGACTTGGATACACCAATTTTTTTTAACAAACTAAAATTTATAAGGTTATGGTACTTTGACTATATAAACTAGAGATTCAGACTAAACTTTTGAGGCGTATATGAACTTCCTAGGTCTTTCCATTCCAAAATTACAAGCAATTGTATTTTAAAAATGTATCAAACCACCCCAATTGAGGGTAATTAGCCAAAAAAGAAATTTTTCATCTAAAAACTTTTATTTTTTTATTAATATATTTACATAAAGTATTCTTTACAATAAATAATAAATTAAGCTATTGCTAAATCTTTCATACTATAAAAAAAAAAATAGTATCTTCATATATATTGTGCGCTGTTTTAAGGTTCCTAGGTCTTTCCATTCCGAAACTACAAGCAATTGTATTTCAAAAATGGGTACTATAATGTGTAATTATAGTGTAATAAGCCGGAACCATGTTTACGGAGATGAAATTTATATCAATGAATTCTGCTTCACTTACTAATGATTGTGCAATGATTTTTATGCGGTGCAAGACGTTATTTTTTATGTAATTTCCATTTAAAATATGCCCGATTTTTAAAAGCCACCGCCACAGAATAATAAACAATCAGAAGGGCCACTCTCAGATGCTGCCTTTGAAGTTTTTGTTTACATTTATGTTTAATTATATTATATTTAAAACTGTTAATATAATTGTATAGTATGTCTATGATTGCCGTAAGTCAAATAAACCTGTTTTTTTCCCATGCACACCACATAAACAACACTGGTTCCCTTTAAAATCCTCGTAAAACATGGCGGAACGTCTGCGCGAAGGAGATCCGCGTACTTAATTTTCCGTGGAGAGTGGGCATTCTGTTTGTTTATTATTCTGTGCCACCGCCATTATTTACCATGAAACAACAAGAAATGACAGGAATGACAACTGTTTCTTATGGTCAAAAATGGTAATTTTAACCAGTGTTGCCATAGTTACTCAAAATTATGTTTTCTAATGAAAAATAAATATTTACTTTCATATTGGACACTAAAATAACATTTTATTATTATCTACCTAGGTTTAAATGAAAATTATAGCTTTTTTACAAGGGTCAGGTTAGATTTGGTTACGTTTCATTACGTTTATTGTCATGTTTTCTTATGAAAAATAAAAAAAATTTATGCTAATAAATATTGGGGGATTCCCAGACAAACTTTTAACGGTTAGGTGTCAATCTCGGAATTATCTATATTTTTTTATACCGCGCAATACCAAAACGAAAATACCCGACCTTAATCGAATGGATGAAATTTTTTACATACATGCGTTGCCGTCTAGACGATAAATGATAATTTCATACGAAAATAGGATACATTTTGCATTAAAGTGTACTTTAGATTTGCAATGTTTTTACAAACATCTAAATTTGGCAATTGTGTTTAAAATATTGGTGGGAATGGGGAATAGGTGTGGCATTTTCAACTCATTTCTTGTCTTTTCGTGTTCGTTTTCGTTACTAAAGGAAGACAAAATGGAGTGTGGTGGTTGCGAATTAAGATTTACAGAAAGTTTCGGATTGTGCTTAAATCAGGGTAGTGCATTAGATTTTATGATTAAACACGGAATTATAAAAGACAAAATGGTACCTTGCAGAATTCTACTTCAAAAGATTACCCGATAAGAAGGAGAGAATGCATGCATTCTTTACCGCTGCCGCAACGTTATATCCACCTAGTTATTAGGATTTTATCTACCTGTTATTTAAGGTAAGTAATTTTTATTAAATTTTAAAATTTAGGTATTTTAAATGTTAAAACTGGCAACAATGTCAAATGTACATAAAATTTAACTTCTTGCGCATGGCCGCCATATTGTTTTGAAATATTAAAAATCTTGATTATTTTAAACAATTTTATGCATTTTTTCATAATTTTACAGTAAAAAAACAGTGATATTTAATATGTTTTAGTTACGTTTTTTTTATTAGGACATGTATATATACTTTTCTTTGCTTTTTATTTAATTTTTTTTGGTTCATAATACTTTCTTTGGTATTTTTTATTTTTTTGATTATTTGAGCACTTTTAATAGTTTAAAGCAAAGAAAACATTAAAATTTGAGGTTTTTCTCACTTTTTCGGCTAAGTCCACAAAAAATTGCTCATTTTTAAGGCGTTCCGGCTTAGTAAATAATTACCCAAAAATGTATCAAGCCACCCCAATTGACGGTAATTAACCAAGAAAGAAATTTTTCATCTAAAAACTTTTATTTTTTTATTAATATATTTACATAAAGTATTCTTTACAATAAATAATAAATTAAGCTATTGCTAACTCTTTCATACTAGTATCTTCATATATATTGTGTGCTGTTTTAAGATGATGTTTCATGTAGGACTTATCTGTGAATTTTTTCTCACAAGCAAAACAGGCATACGGTTTAATCCCTGAATGTGTACACAAATGCCTGGCCAACTTGATCTTATCATAAAACCTTCCTGGACAAATATGACAAGCATATTTTCTCTCTCTGACCGGAATCTTTGCATTTCCAATACCGTGTGCTTTGGTTAAATGAATATCCAGAGTATTTTTCTTCCTGTAGTCTCTTCCACACTTATCGCATACATATCTTTTCACATTAGAGTGGCATCTCACATGCGCCTGTAGTTCACTCTTACTTGCGAACTCTTTTTTACACAATGAACAAATGAATTCCTTTTGCCCAGTATGTCTTCGAAAGTGTTGATCGTGGTTTGACTTTAACGGAAATCTCTTATCACATATTTTGCACACGAACTTCCACAATATCGGATCTGTATGTACAATAAGGTAATGAGTCCATAAATTATTATTAGTCTTGAATGCTTTACCGCATTTGTCACAACCAAAGTTCCTATCATCATAATGTGTCATTTCATGACTTTGCAAATCACTCTTTGTTATGAAACTCTTACCACATATACTGCAAATATGCGATCTGTTACCCTCATGATAAAGTTTGTGATTTTGCAGATTTGTTGATGACCTAAACCTCTTTTGACATAAGTCACAACAGTATGGTCTAATAGACTTTTCTTTGAGTTCGTGTATCTTTTGGCAGTGATCAATTATTTCTTTCAAAAACTTGAACTCCATACTACAAATTTCGCAAGTAAAAAGTCTCTTAGGCATTGATTTTTTGTGTTCAGATTTGTGCTCTTTATAGTCGTCACTATTTTGAAATACTTTGTTACATTTTTCACATTGAAAGTCTATAACGTCATGGTCTTTGAACATATGATTTTTAAGATCTAATACTGTATTAAAAACACAATCACAACTCTTACAATAGTAAGCAGGCTCTGATCCTTCCTTCTTACAACCCCTGCTTTTATGATTCAATAAAGTTTTTGCACTCTTGTAATAGATATTACACTTTTGACATTGGTAATCTGTTTTTTTGATATGTTGTTTATCACATCTCTTTTGATGTGTCTTCAAAATTTTTTCTGAACTATAAAATCGTTTGCAAGTGTTACACTGATACTCATTTTGGACTTTTCTGTGCCTTCTTACACCATCACACACATCTCGATGTTCTTTAATTGAGGATTCTTTAGTAAACTTTCGGCCACACTGTAAACACATAGTATTTCTCTTATATTTTGGTAATTCTTTACTGTCATTCTGATGCGTTTCTTGAATGTGTTGTATCAGGTCATCTTTTGTCACACTTTTATGCCCGCAATTGTAGCAGATAAAAGATTGCTTAAGATCTAGTTCAGATTCAGAGTAATCAGATTCAACATCTATTTTAAGATCACTACAATCATCAAAAGTATCCACTTCTTGTTTTAAATTATTTCTGCTGTTTATACATTTTTCTTTAAACCTATAAGCCGCTGTTGTTTCTGTTATACAAACGTTGCATATCTTGAAATGATCCAACCATTCCTACAAAAAATAAATTTTTTTGTGAAAAAACAATATAAGCGTATATTTTTTGTTACTACTCTACTTCAGGTTTCACCGGAAATACCCTTAAAACCCACACTAGAACGTCTCACACCACAAACAATTAAAATTGATTTAGGAAATGTGGACTAGTTCCAAGTAAAAGTATCAGATAAGATATCATTAACAGCCAACAGAAAGTGCCACCAAGAAAAGGAAGACAGAATATTTTTGTCTGCTCTTAAAAAAAATTGTCAATGAAAAATTAAATTTGTTTAATCAAAATTATAGAAATTGGGAAGGGTCATTAGAAGACAATATATAGTCCTTATACAATCTGTGGAAGACAATAAAAGTTGACCTGAAAAAACGAAAGGTAATAAAAGCAACACTTTATTGTATTATGTTCCAGGAAAATAAACATAAAAGTTTGTTTTTAGGAGACACAGTCAGTGAACATAAAGAAAATTATTACAACACTAAAATACCAGAATTGCTACTATAACAGAATGAAACTATAACATCTGAAGAAAGAGTTGAACTACCAGCTGCAGAAGAGCCAAAACAATTAGATGTATGAAACACAGAGGACAACACATTTCCCGCAGAGGTAACACAGTGGCAAGAGGAACAAAGAAATGCAACTAAAGAGGAACAAGAGATACACTACATAGGGAACACGAAACACCTGTGAAGAAAAATATGTTAACATCTTCTGAGGATAACTAAAAACCGTCAACTTCTAAATTTGAATTAATACCATCCCAATTTAAAAGAGCTTTGATGTAGGGACCACAAGGGATGATAAAATCAAAAAGGAGAGAAAAATTGCCGGCTGTAGTTACATCTCCGCACTTGTTTCATTATTACAGGAAAAAAGAAAAGCAAAAATGGATGCTCAAAAATTAAAAGATGACAGATTTAGAAGAAAAACAAATGCAACAGAAAAAGAAGAAACACAGAAAATTAAAGATGATGAATTTTTTTATTCCAATTCTGAGTTGGAGATGTCCCTGCAGGGGTCCTATATCTCTGGCCAATGAAATAATGATGAAGGGGAATTTGTTACAAAAGTTAATTCTTTTAAAAAAGCTAAAACTTGGGACTCAAGAGTAGTGATAAAACAAGAATAATATTTATGGCCAAGGAAAATGATTATCTCTTGTATCATTTAATCAAGTTTTAGGAAATGTTCCATTGGAATACCAAAATTGTTGTAACAGGAGAGAGAGTTAGCTATATGTTTGAACAGTCTCTTGACAGAAATGTAAATGTAATCATTGTATAGTTTTTATACATTTTTTCTCAATTTTAATATTACCAATGTCCTATTTTGTCTGTGTTAACCAACTTTTTGATGTTTTTTAACAAATTTTGGAATAATAAGTTTTTTAACTAAAAATATATATATAGGTTGTCCAATTTAAATTAAATAAGTTGCAGGTATTTCCGGTGAAACCGAAAGTAGAGTAGTAACAAAGAAATTGCATCAGATAGGTTATGTGTCATCATACTTGCATGCAAAGTTTCATGAATAACAAATTTTTTGTTTCAAAGATATTTACTTGATTCCACACTTTTACCCCAATCCTGTATATCTGTTCAGTTTGTTGGTAGTTTGGTAAGTATTCTGAATAACATGACATATAAATTAGCATTGTCAATATAGTTTGTTTATAATCCTATATTTATATACCTCCAGTTGGAGATAACTGCACGAAGATAGCAAATTGTGGAGTAAAATAGTAAATGTCGTCAAGAAGCACCAAGATTAATATTCAAAATGATAGAATATAGATACAACGGGCCATAAAGAGACTCATCACCTTGGTAGGACAAGATCAGAGAACTAGAGAAACTGGAGTACCATAGAGAGTGGTCCTATCACCTATTCTGTTTAGCATACATGCTGCAGATGTTCCAAGAACATCTAGAACAGTACTCATCCTTTACACAGATGATACTGCAATAGTAGCAAAGCACACGAGCCTAAATATAGCTGTAAGAAACCTGTAGATAACACTGAATGCAACAGCATTAGATGCAATAGAACAATGAGGTATATATATCAATCGGTTTTGATCTATTATCAATTGGAATATCAATTTCTTGCGACATTGTCTGATGCCTTATTTCCATGACACTCTATTATCCCATCGGCCCTCTCTAAGATCTCTTGTGCTCATCGCCTTCATTACTCCCTCTTTCTAATATTTCTTGGGTCTTCCTCTCTTTCTGTGGTTTGGTGGTACCCATTGCATAATTATTTTTGGGAGTCTTGAGTTATCCATCCTCTGGATGTGTCCTTACCATATCAGCTGTTTTCTTTCTATGTCTGTTTCCAATGAGGTATCCCAAGGAAAACAGCCATAAATCCAGATAAGAAACAGCTTCAAAAAAGAAGAGGTAAACAGCTAACAGGACAAGACAGACTTCAACTTGACTTCAATTATTGATTTTATTTATTAAAAACAGTAAATCTTTCTTATCACTGGCAAAGAAGATCATATCATTAGCATATCAAATGCTATTAATAGTTTTTCTTGTTACCTTTCTTAAGATTTCTCTATTTTCTCAGGCCTCCTATAAAATTTATTCAAAATATAAATTGAAAAGGATTGGCTACAGTTACATCTCTATCTTGACTCACTCTACAAACCAAATCTGACACTGATTATTCAGTAATTTTCTAATCTTAGATCTAAATATAAAATTGAAACTCTAAAATGCCATTCAAATTATATTAAGAATTTTAATAATATAGGAGAGACTCATGGAAATTCTGAAAATATATAAATAATAAATGACAATTGTCTGGACATAATGCTAAGATATAGTAGATCTTTCTGGTGGTCACTTTGCTAATGTCTATGATCCTACAAACTGTATGTTGCCAGATACTCAACTTAGTCCTAAAGCTAAGGTATTTCTTCACAAAGAGCATATATATATATATATATATATATATATATATATATATATATATATATATATATATCAACTTTTATATGCATTTTCTACAGCCCCTGATACAATACCAAATTTCTTTCTCAAATCTTGTTCATTTAATCAATATTTAAATCAAGTGATAAGCACAATGTATACAATCAGCTTTTCCCAAACCCTTTGATAAATTAGTTTATACTCAGATGAATGGGAAAGTTCAACTGAAAATGGGTTGTTATCTGTGGGGCAAATGGATTTATATTACTGTGAAAACTTCATATTCTAGGTTTTACTATGGAAACAATATAACAGCTTGTCAAGTTTTCGGAAGCAGAGAGTAAAACTTTTTATTTATATGTCTGATTGTTGAACCTACAGGACTCTTATGCTTTATAACATGAAAGACTCAATAACTCCTATTGGTCCTTGAGGCTAATTTTTCAGACTGGCCTTGAATTTATCAAATCATTTTGTGTAGTACATAAAGATGCAATAAAAACTAAACATTAAAACAAAAATATTAACAGTGAACCTTTTTCCTAGATAGTACATCATTGCTAATATAGATGCGACACTATTTGAATCTAGAATACATGACCTGGTTAAATATGTAAAGTTGATCCCATCAGAAAGTAGATAATAATTTGTGTATTGTGACAAAGAATACAATCACTACTTAGCATAGAGAAGTAGTAATTACAGAATGGTATTTTCAAGTGTTTAATTAATCATTAGACTACAGATATTTTCAAAGGTAATTATGGAAAGCTACTCACATTCAATGTCAAATATAAATTTGGTTATGTTGTGTGCATTAAACTAAACTTTGTCCGAAATATCTTAGTTAATAAACATTTAGTTTCATTTATATTCATACAAACTTAATATCATTACAAATAGTAATGCTAAATTAGAAAAAAAACTTTCTTACCACTTCAGGTACTATAAATACCAACATGAAAGAAAATTTCAAACCATCTTCATTCGTCTTAGATAGATCATAAAGTACATCATTTCGTTTACAACAGATATAACAGTTTCCTGGAAACATTGTGGCCTTAATACTGAAAAATAAATATAAAAATACAAACAAAAATATTTACAGCATCATCTGAGAAGTTAGTTACACAACTTCCCAGTTTTGTTTGTACAATTGTACGAATGAACTACTTAGACAATGGAATGTAAACTTAAACTTGTACTATAGAACTAACTCGTCAAAAAAGAAGAATATTATGACATTTAAATTGCCAAATCTGTGAAAGTATATAAACACCCAAAACTAAACAGTTAAGTTCTGGTAATTTTAAGAAATGTTAAATTAAAATAAAAATGGATTATTGTAGTATATGCTTGGATTCAAAGGGATGCACAATTCGTTTCAGTGATTTGGATGAAAACAACGTAAATTGGTCAACGAAATTAAAATCCATTGTATCTGATTTGGTATGTGCAAAAATGGAAATGAGTTATAAATTTAAATATAAACGTTTTAAACTATTTTTAGGAAGACACTCCAGGAGAACATTTTATTTGCGAGGGTTGTACTAAAAAAGTGGATGATTTATTGAGTTTTAAAAAGAAATTGGAAAATTTAGTGAAGAGATTTAAGACTATATACAAAGAAGAGAATGAAAGTGAAACTAAATATAACATTGACGAAGACCAATGCAGTCTAAGTCCAGCCTTGTGTGACTACAAAGATAATGATGATGTCGAATTTGATGATGAAGTATTAACTGCAAGAATAGAGAGACTTGATAATGGGTCTCTTGAGTCTACTAATTCTATTAAAGGTGAAACAGAAGCTAAAATAGTTAAAGTAAATGAATCTTGTATTTGTTTAATATGTGATGAGGAATTTGAAAGTAAAAAAGCATTGCGATTCCACAGAAAAACATGCACAAGAAATCCGAAAGGTGTTTATACATGTTTCACTTGTAACAAAAGTTATAGTACAAAAACTAATCTTAAATTACATCATAGAAAGTGTGGTAAAATAACAATATTGGAAGATGAAAATACAGATAAGCTGCTTAAAAAACATGGAAAAAAATCATCAAGAAGTTATACATGTGACTCTTGCGATAAAGTATTTAATTTAGTAAAGGATTTAATGGCTCATTGCAAAAGTGTTCATGACATGGAAGAAAGGATGGTGAAACCTTATTCCTGTAAGCAATGTACTCAAAGGTTCAGAACATATGCTGGTTATGATCAACATCTGAAATATCATAGCAGAAAAAGGGACAATGTGTGTAGTTTGTGTGGGAAAAGGTTTATAACAAAAAGTGAACTTATAGTACATGAATATACTCATTTTAATAGAAGAAATTATAAGTGTACAGCCTGTGGTAAAGCTTATAATACTAACAAAAACCTAAAAACACATATCTTAGTAGTACATACAGACAGAGCAGCTTGGAAGTATGCATGTGGAATATGTGAGAAAAGGTTCCCACAAAAGGGCAACTATGATCAGCATATGAAACGTCATGCTGGGGATAAACAACACATCTGTCACATATGTCAAAAACCTTTCATCACTAGTAGTGAACTGAAAAGACATGTAAGTTTACATTCCAATGTAAAAGCCTTTACTTGTGAATATTGTCAGAGAGAATACAAGACTATAAGAACTTTAAACACACACTTAAGAAGATCTCATTCAGTTGGTGATAGATTGCCAGAGAAGGAAAAGAGGTATGTCTGCCACATTTGTCCTAGTCAGTTTTATGATAAACAAAAGTTGTCTAGACATTTGTACTGTCATTCTGGAATAAAACCTTTTCCATGCACTGCTTGTGATAAGAAGTTTACAGACAAATCATATCTTAAACACCATATGAAAGTAGCTCATAATATCACAGAAGTATCTAGTGAAATTAAATATGAGGCATCAGATGCTTTAAAATATGAAGTTCCAGAACAAGTTAGGTTTTAATTTGAAGAGATTAAATGAGTCCTTGAGTTTTAAGGTTGATCTTAACCCACAATTAATTTGTTTATGATCCTAGAGATGGCTTTACTGTGGCATGCTGTTCTGGTAATTTTTTTTACTTAATTGTAGATTTCTACATGATGACTCTGTAATATTTTCAAACCCTAATATAAACTACAGTTTTCTATCATTATATAAATTGACTGAGTTGCCAAGTTGTGTAGACAGTAATTTTATCAAATACACTATAACTTATAGGCTTACAGACCAAGTAAGCTAAGATGTCTTTAACATCTTTATGTATAATATTTTACTGCTCTGCTGTGTCAATCGGAATATAATATACCAAATAAAGTTACACATTTGAAGGAACATAAGGTTTCATCCACACATATTGAAAAATGATCCATATTTATTATCTTAACATTTTATCAACAAAGAGGTACTTAGCAGCGCTATCTGTGAATATTGTATTACCATTAAATTTATACATGCAATCTATATTAGATTTTTGTTTATACAGTAAAATCTCCATTAACCGAAATAATTGGGGGGGATGCCGTTTCGGATAACAAGAATTTCGGTTAAAAATAACATTGTTTTTATAGTATTCTGGGTTAAAGTATTGGTATTAAAAAATACTATGAGGTGATTTCGTAATGTTTTTTATTGAGTAAATACAGAATAAAGTAATAAAATTAAGGAAAATAGACAAGTTTAACATGCTTTTTTAAAGAAATCTTCTATTTTCTTTTACATTATCATTTGACAACTATGTTTTGCAGCTATATATCTCCATCGTTCATTTGCAGAACGTCGTGAGTTTGCCTCGTTCCATGGTTCGACAAAATGTAAAGCAATCTGAAAAGGACAAAACTGTATACAATGACAACAAAAATTAATAACCTAGTCGTGTCCCTAACTACTACTGTATAAAATTCTTATCCTCAAGGCATTGAAATTCTCGTCTGCAGTCTCATACTGTCTGTTGTCTGTTGGTCGTCATCTTCGTCGTCTGATACGCTCAGGTTGTCTCGATGAAGAACCATATCAATGATGTCCTGGTCGATGAATTCACTTTCCGAGTCATTGGCGGCTAACCACTCACGTATCTCTTCTTAGTTAATTTCGTCACATCCCGGCAAATTTTTTATTAAAGGTTTAATTTCTTCTGTCGTTTCTTTGCCATTTTCTTTTTCAGGATCGTCAATCAAAATCCTATCAAAAAGTTAGTTCCAGCATTTTTTCAAAGTTGAAGATGTCTCTATTACTCATGCAATGTCTCTATTACTCATTAAGCAACAATGCTTTGATGAGAAGGTTTCTTTTATTTTAAAAAGGATTTTATACTTGAGACGAATTTATTTTTGAACCATTCTGAAAATAAAGTGGTCGACATCCATGAGCTTTTTTGGCTTCTATAAAAAACTAGAGAAGTGCTTTTTCTCAACTATCTTATAGAGCTCTTGGTTTTTTGATTTCCTAACACAGATATAGACATCAATCGGTGAGGAAAATTAATGGATTTGTTTACGTTTTGCGATAAAAATTTACTTTTTATTGACGAAATTATTGAAACTGTCAGCCGTTTCGGTTAAACGATGTTTCGGTTAAGGGAGGTTTTACTGTAGTTAAAAATTAAATTATCTGGTATTATTAAATAGTTTATTTGGATTCATATGAAAAATGGTCAAATGTCAAAAATGTTATTTAAAACATGTGAACATGTCTTCCTTTTGGTCTGTTTATTACTGGTTTCAGGTTTGTTATCTTCCTCATTAGTGTGTCTTCTTCTCTTCTGTGTATGTTTCCAAACCATCTCAGTCTTTTTGAATTAATAAATTTTACTATGTGTTCCCCTTCAATTATATGTTCTTATTTCATGCTTAATTAGTCTTCTATATTCTCCTTGTTCCGGCTTTATTAGGCTGTTTATTCTTAGAATTAATTTTGCTTTTAATAATTTTTACTTTTCCTTTATCTTTTTTCGTGAGACATATTATTTTCGCACCATATGCTATCACCAGTCTAATTGCTGCTCTATATATTTTTGCCTTTAAGTGGTAGGTGATATTTCCAAAACACAACGTTCTTCTCTCGCCTTGTGTGCGTGGTACTGTCATGCATTGGATGTATGATTTGGGGTGGTTTGATGCATATTTAGTCATCATGGTTCTATTTGGTCTAATTAGTTCTTCAGTTTCTGTATTCGACCATTTTATAACGCCAAATGAGTGCATGAAAAGTGGTATTGCATATGTGTTTATTTCTTTTACTATGTACTTGGAATTGTTTGCTTTTGAGTATTATTATTATTATAATACAATGATATTGAGCCAAAGCAGAGCTTATGTGGCCAAAATTACAAAATATTTGTATGTACTAAACTAAATAATATAATATAAATAAAATTTTCTCACAAAGTAAAAATTAAAATAATTTTCAAAAAAATTAGTTTTTACAAAAAGTTCTTGCAATAATAGTAAATTACAAATATACAAAGAGTACATAAGATTACAAAATTTATTAAAACGAAGAGAAATTATACCAAATATACATCAAAAATAGTGTTGAAACATTGAAGTAATTGTTCAAATCTACACTCACTTATTGTATATAAAAAATATATTATAGTATTAAATAAAGCATTTGAGGTGACACTTAACAAAATTTCATGTTAGCTCAGTTGTGGATATAGAAAACGAGTTTATTTTAGGATGTCTCAGTATGTCGTAAAATTGGACTGTCGTATCATGCACGATAACTCGAACTTCGAGACGTTGCTGTCACACAAAGTACTCATTCACTAATGTGGCGTGTCTGTCAATGTGTTAAAATAGAAAAGCCTTTGATCTCATTAATTTTTAAAATTATTTATTTTAATAGTTTGCAATTTATGGAATGGTAGTTTGGTTTTTTGCAGTGACCATATTTGGCTTTATAAATAAAATTAGATTTTCTCCCAGATCTTACAAGCATATATACGACAAATGAAGGGAGTGTAGTTGTCATGATATAGTGTATGGTCCATAGACTTCTGCCACTTCTATTACATTGTGCAAAAGTATTTTGTAACTTCCTGTGATCTGGTTAATCCCTTTTGTTGGAGATCTTCCTTTTTTGATATATAATTGGATAAATATAATATGTACTTATTTTTAGTTTGTATTCAGATAAGCCTCTTTTCTATCAAATTTTAATATTAGAAAATTCTTTTTTATTAAATTAGATAATTCTTACTTTTAACAAACAAATAGATGATTAACAACAAGTAAGCAACAGGGAAAGAGAAGGTAAAAAGAAAGGTTACTCTTACAAAAAGGGGAGAAATAGATAGAAAACTTAGTATTTTACAATACTATGTTTTCCATCTTGCTAAATGCTTTTTGTATGTTGTAAAAAAATACTGCCATATTGAAGATTACCAACCTTCATTCAAAATTCTACAGAAGCATGTAGCTTATAAAATATGATGTGGTAGGGGAGACCAGTCTGTGTTGGCACCCCTAACAAAAATTGTCTGTAAAATCTTTAATCACATAGATAAAAGACTCTTTTTATCGTGAAAAAGTTAGTAACATGTTACTCTTTGTAATAACAAAATATTTAGACGAATATAACAAAACTTTGACAGTCAAATTTGAAAAAAAGGCAAAGTATACCATCATACACGAATAGTCAGGTATGATGGCATACCTACTGATGTTTTTTTATGGTTTATTTTGACCTCCAAGTTAGATATTTCAAAATAAAAAAGTCGACGTCATTGTCTTTGCTAAGAGACGCTAATTGTATCCGAACGTCTGCGGTCCCTCCGGTGTGTACCGATCACACAAGGATAGAAATTTTTTTAATAAACGAAAATTTCCACCCAGGTGGGATTCGAACTCACGACCTTTAGGTTTAAAGACAGGCGCTCTTACCACTGAGCCACAGAGGGGATTAACGACAATGGTTTTCTGTAAAATATCACATTGTTTTTGTATCGAATAAAACGGAACTATCATAAAGACATGAACTCCACATAGTTCGAGAACATTCTGCAGGGTGTTAATAGTAACTCTGTCATAGTATTGGATAATGTATAATAGAATAATTATTTATTAATTAATGACAATAATCAAAGGCATCTTAGTAGATATCGTCAATATACTGATGATTCAATGTTAAATTCAATTGAAGTAAATTTCACTCGAATAAGTGTGCTGACCAAATTTTAATTTGATAAAATGTATCGCGGGTACGTCTATTGCTACAGGAGACTCACAGTAAAGTACCGACCTATTAGTATGTACGGACAGCTGCTAAAATGAACCGATATTATTTTAATTTTATTATTAGTAAAAGACGTATTTGATTTGCACCTCCTACAATTAGTAAATTAAGTTACATTTATGAGTCACCCTCCCCAATTTCTTGTCAGAGTATAGTTTTGACAGATATATGGACAATTTGGTCTAAAGAATTCCCTATAGATTGTCTCAAAGTGACTAGTCTGTACAGGGTAAATGCACAACATCGATGCCATACTTCTTTGCAAACTTGTATTAAAATAAACGTCACTTCTTACTACTTAGCCTAATCTTTTTTTTTGTGTTGAGGGTAGCTTAAGTACTAATGCTCACGAACGACCCTGCCTGGCTTTCTTCTGTCAGTGGTTCTCAAGCATAAATAATATTTACAACATACTTGGGTTAAATTAAAATACAATAGAAATTAAGAAATGCCTTTTATTTATGTCCCACAAGCAGTTTGTTTTTAATTCTACAGTATGTGCTAGCGATAAAAACCATTAGTTTATAGATTTAAATAAAATCGAATAAAATAAAACTAACATATAAAGAAACATTTTATTTATGTATTGTTCCGTTCAAAAGTTAAGGGGGGAAGAACTTTTAAAAACCGCACTCTATATGTTGGCAGTAACAAAACGTAGAAATATCAGAAAATAAAACTAATGAATAAGTCGAAAATAAAAGAAGTCTCTGTTGAGGTTTTCTATA